ATATCTTGGTATTACTGTTGATTATGATTCTAGTAAACATGAAATGAGATTGGATCAAAATAAATATATTGAATTATTAAGGAAAAAATATAATTTAGAAAAAAGGTAAACTGTATAATACACCTATGGAAGTAAATTTAAAAATTGATAAATCTGATCATTGTGAAAGAAATATTAAATATAAAAATTTAATTGGTGCACTATTATACATAAGTTCGGCAACAAGGCCTGATATAAGTTTCAGCGTAAATTATCTGAGTAGATTTCAAAATTGCTATAATGAAACGCACTTTAAATATGCTGTACGAATTTTGAAATATTTATGCTTAACTAAAGATTTAAAATTGTTTTACAACAGAAATGAAAAAGTAAGTATTATTGATTGTTATGTGGATGCCGATTGGGCAGGTGATCATTTAGATAGAAAGTCTACAACTGGTTTTGTAATAAGATTGTTTGGTAATGTAATTTATTGGAAATCTAGAAAACAAAAAAGCGTTACAAAAGCTTCAACTTTTGCAGAGTATGTAGCATTGTCAGAAGCAGTAAGTGAATTGATATTTGTAAAAGAATTGTTGAAAATATTTGATATTGAAATAATAAAGCCAATTGATGTTTATGAAGATAACACTGGTACAATTAGTATAGCTAATTATGGCAATTTTACAAAAAATTCTAAGCATGTTGAAATTCATTATCATTATGTAAAATGATTATGTTAAAGCAAATGTTATAAATGTGGTTTAAAGTAGATTCTGATGATAATATTGCAGATATTTTTACGAAGTCCTTGGGCCAAGATAAATTTGAAAAATTTCGAAGTATGTTAAATTTGAATTAATGTAAATACAATGTAAATGTAAGGAGGCGTGTTGAGAATGTAATACATTTATATTGTATACACAGATATATTGGTGTAAGAGTAAGCGGAACGCACCCATAGTGTCATGGGTTGACATGACAGACAATAATAGTAATGTCAATGAGTATCATGTAGTTGTAGGTGGTAGAAAGAAGTATGGTGGCTTAAGTTAGGTTAGTTAATTAGTATGTATGTTATAGGAAATAAAGCCTTTTATAATAGTAGTAAAGTACGACTATTTATTTTCCAAATCCACACCTTAACAGATTTAGAGACTGTCCAGCAACTGCAACCATTTGGTCGAATTTGTCGTTGGAATTATCGACTGTTGTCGTCTGACGGAATATGGACATCAGAGGTACACAAGTTCCTACTTTTGTCTCTTTCTTGATGATCACTGGGTAGTCATTGACATTGATAAGTCTCACAGGTATTTCTTTAGTCGAAGTCACCAATTCCTTTAAAATTATGATTCCTCGGCCAACCTCGTCGTCATGGTTCCAAAGCTTCATCATAACAGGTGTCCCTTCGTCTACAATTCCCTGTAACCGCGCTACTATGATCATTTCACTTCTCGCAGGCACGACTGTATCTTATTTAACGGTTGCTTGCATAGTGTTGTCATTATGTGGATGAAGACGTACCTCGAAGAGCTATAACAGTATGGATAATTTTTCTGCTCCGATTCCTAAGTGTACGTGGATTTCTCCATGAATGTTGGCATTTTCACCTGTAGCGGTCCGAAGTCGCAACCTCGTTGGTAACAGTTTCTTACCTCTGTTTATAACTGTCGGGCGTATAATGGTTCTGGTCGCTCCGGTATCCACCAACAACGTATGTCTTTTACCATTTATTTCCTCATCTACATATACACTATCTTCACGACATTTCAAAGAAGCTCTTAGTATGAGTATTAGTATGATAATTATCAAGAAAAGGATAACAGAATGTCAACTCTATGTGTCAATCTTCTGTAGAAAGAGTGATGCAGTATAACTACCTCGGCACAATAATAAATGAAGAATGGACCAACAACCAGGAGATTGGAGCACGCATCGCAAAAGCAAAATCCACCTTCAATCGGATGGGGGCCTTCTTCAAGAGTCACAACCTCTCTCTTGATACAAAAGTAAGAATGCTGCGATGCTACTACGTCTTCTCTGTCCTTTTATATAGTGTTAAATCGTGGACCTTGAATAAAGATATGTGCAAAAAACTGGAAGCATTTGAGATGTGGCTATATCGGAGGAGGTCCTTAGAAGAATGAATAAGAACCGAGAGGTACTGACAACCACTAAATCTCGAAAGTTACAATTCTTCGGACATATTATGCGAAATGAATCCAGATATGCTCTCCTTCAAGCCACCGTACAAGAAAAAATATTTGGAAAGCAAGGTCCAGGAAGAAGAACATCTTGGTTAAAGAACCTCAGAATCTGGTTCAATACAACATCTGTGCAGCTTTTCCACGCTGCTGCAGATAAGATAAAGATTGCCATGATGATCGCCAACATTCGTTACGGATAGGCACATCAAGAAGAAGATTAGTATGAGAGGGTCTTCTGAAAAATTCCGGGTTGAAGCGGCTCCCCTAAGGCCAACCCGTTCTAGTTTTGTCTTCGGTCTTATGGTCTTCGTTTTCTTGTGTGTAATACTTTGCATTATATTAACGAGCTGGTTTATCTTCATCTCCTTCCTCTTTTACAGTCCTAACTTTACTGTATCCGCCAACTTACCTTTCGTCTCGTCTTCTTTGTCTCTACTGTAATTGAATTGTTCCCTCTCGCTGCTGTCCCTGTTTCCTCCATCTTCGTTTTCATATATCTTTTCTTCGTAGGCTAACATATCGGCAGCAAATTTTTTAACGACGATATTCTATCGACGAGGGCAGACATCTCAGAAGTGACTTTAGAGATTTCCAAAGAGATGTTAGCAGAAACTTTGCTTTCCAGAAAATATATTTCATTAGAAATTTTGTCTTCTAAAGAAGCGATGTCGACGGAAACTTTCGAAATATCGCCAGAAACTTTGTTTTCTAATGATGTGATGTCACCAGAAACTTTGGCCACATCACCAGAAACTTTGGCTACATCAGAAGAAACTTTCGAAATCGATGAGATGACAACAGCATGTTTGTCTTCAAATATATAAGTTTCTGGGTCCAAACCCTCTTCTTTCAAAGCGTTCTTTAGTCGTTGGAATAAATCAGCCTTTTTTCCGGTAGAAGCTAATTCTCTGTCCTCGAGATGTCTTCTTAAATTCGTAATTGTGAGCTCATAGATCGTAGTCATTTTCACAATTTATTTTATATTTCACTCTGAGACCACGTGTACTGAATTTATAAGTCTAATTTATTAACTTTATTTATTTATTATAAAAATGTTCTAACACTTAGTTTGTCAAAGTCTATATACAATATTATACAAATTAATTTAACACTATAATTATGTAATTTATTTACATTTATTACAATATATATTCCCGACATTAATTCAAACTCGCTATATTCAAAACTAACTGTCTTCAATAAAATTTCCTCTTTTTATATAAAGCACCGTTAATTTCGAAGCGGGCGGTGACCTTGCAGAACTTACTCGGTCGTCGTGGAGACAGACAAGTTTTAGCGTATGGGGACCCGTGGATCTTCTTACTTTAAAATACTCGAATGAAAAAAGATGTGGATATCGTGATATATATGTGGATGTAGATATGAGTCATTATTTATCGTAACAGTACTTTATTATGTGGATTATTTATATAATTTAACACAATATTGAGTATGTTTTGTGACTATATATCATTTGAAATATTATTTATTCAGCATTATTATCATCACTTTTAAAAAAATAATAAGTACATTAACTGGACAATATTGAACGTTTATTGAAAATATTCTCAAGAAACTCAAGCTAAATGCTACCAAAATTTAAGTTGGTTGCCTACATTTGGCGCAACTCAACGATATAAACTAAATTAGCCTAACTTTTTTATAAAATATATATTTTTTACATATAATAGATTCTTACTTTCTTTATTAACTAAACTGCATGTTAACTGAAATGTATTTGTACGAACATTTGTAACATTTAAATATTTTATATGATCAACTTACGTCAACAGGGTTTCAATCGGCAAATAATTTTAAAAAAGTGGTAGGTATTTTGAATAAACCTTTGTGCACTTTCATTACCTTGTAATTTGACAGCATTCTTAATCATCTAAAAATATTAAGTTTTAAAGAACATTTATCATACTTATTTAAAAAAAACTTACCAACGCATTAGCTAATGGAACAAGTGGGAAACTTTGACTATCCATAATAATAAAATTCCAAATAGAACTAACTATAGAAATAAATAATATAACAATAAAACTTTATTAACTAAAATACACAACGCGAATAATACAAATATTTACTACAAATGTTAAATTGTAACAACTCAAATATTATATTTTAAATATACAGGGAAAATTTTATAGGTTTAGTATACACTTCTACTATTTAGAATAAGTCTTCTTTTTGCAATGGAAGAAGTCTGCAATAGCACCGAACAACGCAATGAGCTAAAATACTGAGAGGTAGGAATTTTTGTATTTGTAGGTTTCCCATCGAGCTTTGCTCTTTGAGGTTTCCGACTATAAATCTGTCAAAATATGTCTGTATATGTCATCGATTTATGTATGTCATGTCATATGTCTAAATTTGTAAATTTCTAAGTTTGTTTCATGGACGTATAAATAAACATAGATTGTTTAGTTTGTTTATTCCATTCCTATTTGCAGTTTGCACTTGAAATTGAACAGCATAATGAATAAGTATATTTAGACGGATACCACAACGTAGACGTTATTTATACTGTGCAGATACTATATTCCTTGGTACAATCTCATATCTTATAGTTCAGACACAGTATATTGCTAAGCATTAAACTGGGGTTGGAGCACAATGGCATCATTGGGAATAAAATTATCCCCTTTCAACTTCTAATAATTATAAAACACTATGATGTTGGTGTTCACCTGATACTGTTTTTTATACTCAAAACCAAATATTTTATTACTATTGGTTAAGTATAATAAAAATAGCATTTATTGTAGTGTTTATCACCCAGTACTTGTTATAACACACTTGTTAGTTATGGAATTTAACGATGAAATTAAGGAAGAGGTTGTTGAATATGACCAAGGACATATAGAGAGATGGCCTTCCACATCAACAGATCTTGGTGATTTGAAGAGCGAACCAGAAGTTAACTCTGGTAAGACAATAACAATTACATAGTACCAAACAATGTGATATAATTCATATTTTTTATTAGCTATGGCAGTAAAATCTGAAATTAAGGAAGATTTTGTTGAAGATTACCCTAAATATCTAGAGAGTCAGTTGTCCACTGTCCTTGACCTAGGAAATGTGAAGGATGAAGCAGATGAGTATAACTCAGGTGAGATAATGAATAAAATATGTAAGGTAGCTTTCTTTTATTTTGTGGTGACTTCTTTTTCATATATTTTATTACACAAATATAGTTTTCTCAATGAAAAATTGGAATATTTAATTCATACTAGTTTTTGGCTGCATTAACAGAACTTTATGTCCCTAACACACATCACACATAGACTGTTATACTCAGTTCACTGATTCTGGTGCTACCTGTCTAGTAAATTAGTAATAATTTTTGCTATATTGCATTAATTAAATTTTTATTTAAACAAAACATATTTATTAACAAAGTAAAACTGCATTAATTTTAAAGTCTATTTTTGAAATTGTATAATAGGTAAAGAAATAATAAATAAGACTTACTCACAATCAATTTAATTTAACTATCAGACAACAGGTTTTGCTTTCTACAATATGCAAAGCATCCTCAGGTCTCGATACAAAGTTAAACAAATGATGCCAGTACTCTATTAATAGATGGATGGTAGAACATGGTTGAAACTACTTTATATTGTTGAATGGAGAACTCAATTCTATCACTGCAGTTGTTTGACAGTAAACGGGAAGTTCTTGAGGAGATAGATTTGATCCAATGAATTAGAGATATGTGTGAGATTGTTTGTTAAATGTAAGTGATGTAATATACTATTGTGTTATTAAAGGCTATTTATACTTATTCCAGAGATATATTTTTGAAATGTGTGTTATTTATTGAGTAATTGTTTTTTTGAAGGTGAGCGTTTTATGACAATGAATAGGTGTAGATGTAAAGATTGTGTGGGTGTGCAATTATTTTCACAACTTGTAGTTATCAAATTACTTTGATAAAGTTCTATTGGCAATGAGTTAATTATTGGAATAGTCAAGTAAATAAAATGTTAAAATACAAACAATTAAGGATAATTTAAACACACTAAAACAGAAAACACTTAGAAGGGACGAAAAAAACATTGAATTTAAAAGGGGGGAAGGACTTTATTGCACTACATCATAGTCTTGGGCACAAGATATGAAATGGACTCACACAAGCAACACATTCATGATTTGAAATTTTATAGTTTAGAGATTAGTATTTACATAATATGGAAAGCTTTTAATAAAAATGAATAAAGATATAGGTATACCTGTTAGTTATGGTTATTCTTTTTTTTTAATGAAAGAAGTCACTTCTAGTATAAGCAAAGAATACAGACACATCTATATTCTTTGGTATAAGTGTGTCATCTATGTATCACAGATTGCTGATTTTTCTGCCTCCTATATTGATTCCTCCAACCTATTTGTCTAGTACTTTCCTCATTATATATTCAGAATATATGTTGTATAATCTTGGTGATAGTATGCAGCCCTATCTAGTTCTTTTCTTTGTTTTGAACGCATTTGAATATATTCCTGAAAGCCTTTGTGTAATCTATGAAACAGAGCAGCATTGGTATGTTGTATTTTCTAGCTTTTTCTATTACCTGCCTGTGTTCAGTATCAGCTTCCTCATTCAGTTTTTCTGGTACGAATTCACATTGTTCTTTAGCTATCTCTGAAAGTAGAGACTTCATTGAAAGCTGTTAATTGAATATATGTAGCAGGATTTTTCTTGCGAGAGAATAAGGGCAATAATTGTTCTATAATTCCTGCATATAGTTAGTGATCCTCTTTTATGGATAGGGATAAAGGTTTATTCATACCACTCATCAGGCCATTCACCTGTGATTCATATCATATTGCACATATCTACTATTACATCTACGCCAATCTTGCCAATTGCTTTTAGAGTCTCCACTGGTATGCCATTGATCCCTGGGGATTTTTTGTTTCTTAATTGGTTGAGAGCCTTATCTACTTCTGCTCGTTAAATTATTGGTTCTGCGTCTCTGATTGCATGTTTCCTGTGTTCTGAGACTGGTGTATCTTTTGAAGTGTTTTTGTATAGTTCTGAGCAGTAATTTTTCCTTGTCTCTACAATGCTCTCTATGTCAGTTTTTACTTTTCCATTATGGTACTGAATAGCTTATTGTTGCGGCTTGAATTCTTGGGCCACATATTTAACTTTATTAAATAGTTTTATGGCGGTTTGCAAGTTTCTCTAGTTCTTGACACACAATATTTATTTATCAACGGGCAATCGCCCAATTAAAATACAATGTAAATGTTATTGATAAATTATAGAAGATTCTTAACGTAACCTACTTAAATTAAATTTAAAAATTTTAATCATACAAAAAATAAAAGTAGGAAGAGTAAATAACAAACATTAACAAAGAATGCACAAAACACGAGGACATCAAGCTATCACACACAGTTCTTAAGCTGAGCTTTAAATTCTTTTGGAATACTATAACAATCCAACCTTTGAGAATATTGATTAGCAAACCTTGGTGTTCTAGACTTGAAGAAATTGTGTCTGTAGTTTGTGCAATGGGATCTAACATAAAAGGGTTGATTTAGCCTTGTTTGTCTACTGAGAACATGGAGATTAATTTTTTCCAATAGTTGAGGACCAAAAATAATAGAGTGCAGTATACTATAAAACATAGTGAGATCTTTGTGCATGTGTCAGATTTGGAGAGAAGTTATGTTGAGAGATCTTTCCATATTTGAATAGTTAATTTCTTCAATCCTGAGTAGAGAATTCTGAGTATTGGCAACGCTGTGGTTAAGCGTATGAAGTGCAATTGGCTTGCTCCTGCATTAAACCCGAAAATCGAGAGGTGCAGAGTGAAATAATTGTGCCAAAGCAGCAATAAGTGTGTGTAAAGTTACAACGCGTATCGCAGTGTGAATAAACCGATAGTAAGTGGCTAATTACAAACAATAATAAGCAAAATCAGTTATTCCGATACGACCAGTTTCTGTTGTTTAATTTAGCGATAAGAGCAAAAGAACTAATTCGACCACGGGATTCTGACCGGTAGAAAAGCGGTGTTGCCGTAATGCAAAAATAGTAAAGAATTTAAAGAGAACAGAATTATACATTGTATTGTGAAGAAAACCACAGCTTAATAGAAAACCGAACGATAAAAGCAAGACTTACGACGGGTTGACCGGGGTCTACTTTTTACGCGATTGGATAGTTGAACTGAATAGCTAATATCACGATCACAATTAGAAAGCAATGGATAGTGAAGACGAGTACACCACGGATGAGGGCAAAAGAAGGAAAGGCTCACAAACATTTGGTTTTGGAAAGTGCGAAAAAACTAAAAGATCTCCAGACATGAAAGAGAAAAAAGAAGATAACTCAGGAAAAATAATGGATATGATACAAGGCTTGCAACGATTTATAGAAGCAGAAATGAAGGAAATAAAACAAGAACAAAAAAAATGTCTAACAGAAATTCAAGATTTGAAAAAGGAAAATACGCAAATCAGAAAAGAAAATCAAGAGATCAAGAAAGATCTTATACAAGCAATGGACAGAATTGAAAGACTTGAGAACGAAAAAAGAAGAAATAATGTAGTAATTCAGGGACTACCAATAGAAACAAATAACGTAGAAACAGTGAAGAGCAATATGCAAAGATTTATAAGTACGCACCTGAACATTGAGATTGAAATAGAAAGGGCAATTAAAATAGGAGAAAAGACCTGTTTATTAGAACTAAAAGATAGTAACCAAAAATACACACTTATGAACAATAAAGCCAAACTAAGAAATATTAGAGAACACAAAGTATATATACATGATGATATGAGCGAACAGCAGAGAATTATTCAAAAAGAAATTAGAGCTAAAGCTAAGGAAGAAAAGAGTAAAGGGAATACAGTCCAAATGGGGTTTCAAAAACTTATAATAAATGGAGAAGTATGGACGTGGAACAGGGAGGTGAAGGCTCTCAACAAAGCCAGGAAGAAATAGCAGACCATCGGCCAAATAGAACTGATGAACATGGAATACCAAACAAGGCGAGAATAAGGTCTAACGAGATAATTGAATTGGACAAAAAAGAAAATATAATACAAGATCAAGGGGCAAACAGACTACAAAAGTACATAAAAATGGCTACGTGGAACGTCAGAAGCCTTAATGGAAAAGAGAGAGAATTAATAGATGAATTTGACAAAGCACAATTAGATTTTTTGGCGATCACAGAGACTAAAAAGAAAGGTCAAGGAATGGATGAATTGGATAAAGAACATGTATTTTTGTACAGCGGAGTCAGTATCGATAGTAGAGCGGCAGAAGGTGTAGGATGCCTAATGAGAGCAAGTTATATGTCATATGTTAAAAATTGGAAATGTATATCACAAAGAAATTTAAAGATAGAGATAACACTAAATAAATCAGAAATAACAACTATATTAGTCACATATGGCCCGAATGATGACGAACCATTGAAAGTTAAAGAAGAATATTGGGAAGAGCTCAATGATGCCATAGAAAATGTGAAAGGTAGAATAGTCATTCTAGGCGATATGAATAGCAGAGTTGGTAAAAGAGACGATGGTAACATAGATATTATGGGTATGCAGGGGGAAGATACAAGAAACGATAATGGAAGAAGGATGATAGACTTTTGCATGGAGAATAATTTGATTATCACCAACACATTTTTTGAACACAAAGATATACACAAGTTTACGAGAGAAGTCAGGAGCAGAAATGAAAAATCAATTCTAGATTATGTTCTCATTAATAGAGAATTTAGGAAAGAGGTCACTGATGTCAGAGTTAAAAGAGGCCCGGAAATCTATAGTGACCACTATCTGGTAATGGCAAAGATAAGATTACCCCAAAAAACCCCTAAAACCACTCAACAAAGAACAAAAAATAATAAAGTGAACGAGAATATCCAAAACTATAAACTAAATGATCAAAAAGTCGCGGCCATGTTCAAAAGTAAAATAGAAGAAAAACTAGCCATATTAACTAATGCACATAGTACTGACAACTTACAGGAAACTTGGAAACAATTTAAAGAAACCATCGTGACGACAGCAAAAGAAACGTGTGGAATAAACCATGTAAACAGAAATAAGAAGCAAACACGATGGTGGGACGATGAA